TCTAGGTCGATGCTCCACACGAGTGTCACCAGTCCAACTTGTTTCTATCATATTGAATCAACATTGGGACTACGTCTCCAAATAAGGGTTGAGTTACTACTGTCAGTGACCTCACTTATGGGCTTAACCCATTCTCCCTCGATGAATCCAGAACCACACTCCTGGATAGACCTTTAGTCAAAGGATCAACAAGATTATTTTTAGACTTTACAAAGTCCAGAATCACAATTTTGCCTAGTAGGCGTTGTATAGATTTATCAAGTCCTCTATATCTTAAGTTATTTTAAAATTAGCCATTCATATTATTGAATTTGACTTTAGGTCCCCTAGTCGATAAGTTATTTTAAAACTAGTCTATCCAGCCAATAGTACAAGTAGAAAGAAGAGGGATTAATTTTGAAATAATTTATAAGGATAAGGGAACTTAATAGCAATTTTAATTATTTGATGAACTAATTTCAATATAACTTCATGATTTTGAAATTTTATTCATCATATAGATAGAAGTTATAAGATATACCTCTTGATTTGATTTTCCAGGATATTGATTCATCACATCTCCTGTAACTAGGCATATTAGTTGGCGGAGCATATTTATATCAACTCTAATCATTTCCTAAAATCTCAAGAGAAAGCATTATACATGTATTCGAATGAAGAGCTATACAATGATTCTCACTATTAAAATGATAGGACATCAAAACATGTTAGCATAGTTATTGATGTATCTTATCGAGAAATTTCTAGTTAACAATAGATTATAATAATTAGACATTTTTATTTTAAATATCTAAACAAATTTGATATATGCTCATGTCAAGTAGAAATTGTAATGATCAAATATTATCAAGGAAGGAACTAAACAAATTTGATATATGCTCATGTCAAGTAGAAATTGTAATGATCAAATATTATCAAGGAAGGAATAGAAAACAAAAGCACAAAGCTCATGTCAAGTAGAAATTGTAATGATCAAATATTATCAAGGAAGGAATAGAAAACAAAAGCACAAAGGATTTGCCATAACTTCCAGGTTCTTTAGGAACACAATATGTTATACATTTAAAGAACTAAAGCCCAACACTGCTAATAGAACCTTTAGTGTTCAATAGATAGAGGAATCAATTTAGCAACAAGAAAATCTAAACAGCAGTTTTGAATGTAACATATAAGCATAAAGGTCATAGTCTATGTCTGGAGATGTAACTACATAGGGTTTGTGCAAATTAGAATTTGGCCCATAACGTGGAACTCAAAAACTACAGTTATATCTTTACATGCATGTATATGCACATACATGAATGACATTACTAATAGTTACATGCAAAGCATTCAAGAGAACCTTATAATATGATTTCATATCTTAAAGTATATTTCATACTTCATATGCATAAATTTTAAATTCTCGTATTATAATAGGTTGTAAATTTGTTGCCTACAAAGGAGACCTTCCAAATTTAAATTGGTTGCCTACAAAAGAGACCTTCCAAATTTAAATTGGTTGCCTACAAAAGAGACTTTTCAAATTTAAATTTATGCATATGAATTATTCTCATAATTTTGGTCCTCTTATTCATGGTTGAATATAAAATGTTTCATATGAATAATAACAATTATCAAATAAATACAATCACATAAGCATATGACGTATAAGCCCTATTTATATGGAAAACCCATATGGAATGATTTGTAATAAATTAATAATATTGCATATGATTGAAAAACAAAAGCTATAAATGAAAAGGTTTTTGTCAATACCACTAGACCAGAAACTTAACTAGATCAGCTCCTAACCAAAAACTCCTAAAGTAAAAAAGATCAAAGTTTTACCCGGGTAGTTTAGCCAGGTAAGGATAGTACTAGAGGGAGATCAAAGATCAATTAAGTACCTCGTTCCTTACGGAGCGCGTTACGCAACCCCTAAACCTTGTCTTAGACACCAACTAATCCAAGAAAACTTGAACCGGTTCACTTAAAGATTATTTGTTCCTTAACAGTATATGTGAATAGTGATTGTTAACAATAAATACGTAAACAATAACTGTAAAACAGTATCATAAAGTGTGGACAGTAAATGCATGAACAGTACTGGTGAATAGTTGTTTGCATTTTAAACAGTACTTACACTTTTACTATTTATACATGGCACGGTATTTTGCTATAGTAACTATCATGAATACTTAATTGCTACAGTGATATTAATTAATTATAATTAATTATAGCAATTAAAATAAAAAAAAAACAATTATAGAAACCATATTTTCTTAGAATGAACAGTAATTGTATTTTTATGAACAAAGATAAATAATTCTCTGATGAACAGTGCTCTATGTAAGCAGTAAGCAGATTTTTTTATAAATAAAACGAACATTAAGCCAAACTGTTTTTAAATGAACATTAATATTTTTAAAAATAAATGAACAGTAACGTTCTTAAAAATAAGTGAACTGTAATGTTCTTAAAAATAAATGAACTGTAACGTTCTTAAAAATAAATGAACGGTAACGTTCTTAAAAATAAATGAGCAGTAACTTTTAATTATATATATATATATATATAAATAAAACAAAAACAAATTAATCAAAGATAAAAATATAATTAGCAGAGACTATTTCAGGTGAACAGTAACAGAAAAGTCGGGATTTAAAAAAATAAGGTTTTATCCTTCCTTTCTGTATCTTTATGTATGCAAGCATAAAGTTTGTGAGAGTGTGCATGATGTGCATAGGTTTTTGGATCAAAGATGATGATATAATTCTAATTAACGAATTAATGATGGAGCACTTGCCATCACATTCACAAGAGACAAGATAGAGGAGGGAAGCAGACAAAGAAGCAAGAACATGTAGCCTAAAAATGTCATTAGGTGCATAATTATGTTCATCAAACTACTTGACTACAAAATTAAGTCCTATGCAAGAAGTATATTAGTGTAGATCTATTTAATTAGCATGCATCAATACATTGAGAAACATTTTCGGAATTAAAAAAAAGATAATAGCTATAATCTCAATCTTCTAGATTGTTGGAAATTATCTGTAAAACAAGATTACAACATAAAATAAATCCGAATTAAATAAGTAAGAGATAAGAAATTCAGGTCTGACGGGAGCAGTAGTGTAATCACTGCCCTAGAAGATTGAGGACCCACCTATCGCCCTGTCGCAGATGATCCTCTCCCCCTAGCGGTAAAAGCCCCCGAAAACAGCTGACCTCTGTACTCGGGCGAGAGTACAGAGCTTCAGCTCAGATAAAAAAGATTGCCCATAAAAATAATAACAAAAATTTGAGATGGGGAAAACAATTTCTTTTAAAACCCAAGGAGAGAAGAAAGCTTTATCTTATTCTTGTGTTTTAGAATGTGAATAATGGGTGTATATATAGGGTTGAGGGAGAGACAGAGTTTATTTTATTTTTCAATGTGGGACTAAACACAAAGGCAAAATTGCCTTTTCATGAACAAAATATCCAACAACAAATATATTGTGTGTTTGGTTAACTTGGTTATTGTAGTGTTAAAAGTTACGTATGCTACATCATTTAAGTTGATCAAGCAAGATTGAAGAGAAATCAAGATAAAATTGGACTTCATATTGTAATTTTTACTTTATCTTAGATTGTTAAAAGCCTTAATGCACACACACACACAAACCATGACTGAATTTATAAGTTCTAAGTCCCCTATTTGACTAATGATACCCCTAGTCGACTTATAAAAGAACTAATAAAAACTTAGATTTTCTGCAGTAAAAGTAACAGGTTTCAATGATACATTAACTTTAAAATTCTCTATAAAATCATAAAAGCATTGGATTGGGATGATTTTGGATTCATCACATAGATATTTGTAATACGCATCCAACACATCCAAAATAACTCAATTCAGATGTCGCAGTAAGAAGTTATGTCCATTTTAGTTTATGTTGCTGATTTTGCTTTTCTGGTCAGTTGATCGTTCACTGTAACAGTCGACCGACTAGCCTGTTTGCTCAAAATTAAAATCTCTCTGGCCAGTCGACTTATCCATACTTTAGTCGACTTATAATGGTAGTTTTTAACTATTAAGTGTTTGAATTTGGGTCAGTTTTTGACTGTTTTGTTTTGATTTTCAAATTTATTTTCAAACCCTTTAGACCAACCTAAGATTTCCATAAATAGACATGAGTTTCTCATTTGAAAAAATGATGAACAAGATTCATTATGCTTTGACTTTTGAAAATCTCTGAAATTCTGAAAAACTCTATTCATAACCTTCTTGTCCAAAATTCTCAGATTTAGCGAGACAAAATATTGAGAATTCCTATTAGCCACAGATCAATTAAGATCACTACACATCAAGGCTTATAGGATTGTTGTAATTTTCATCAAGAAAAGTTCTCTAGAGTTTGAGGGAAGAGGAAAGGTTCTCTCTGGTTTGAGGGAAGGAAAGTCCTTCTCTAGTTTGAGAAAGGGTTTGCAAATTGACAAGGAGATTGTCAAATTTGTGCAAGGATTATTCTTGTAAGGAAATCCAAGAATAATAAAAAATCTCAAGCAGGTTGCTTGAGAACTGGATGTAGATCTGGATGACCGAACCAGGATAAAATCCTTGTGTTTGCGATTGTATTTTTCCCTGGATTGATTTACTCTAACTCTTTTGTGATTGTTGATTATTGATTTAAATTTTTTTTTATTCCGCTGCTAATTTATTTATAATTTCGCAAGAATTTTTTTAAACACTATCCACCCGTGTTTTAGCATTGCATTCAGGATCCAACAGAATTATATTTACTCCCGTCTAAGGTAAACGTTGCCATCTTACCAGACTTGGCTCGGCCCTATCCATAAACAAGAAAACGAAAATATCAGAAAAGTATTTTTTTTGTTTCTTTGGAAAGTATCAGAAAAGGTGTTAAGGTCTCGAAATAGGCCCAACCCATTTGATTCAAGCCCAGTATAGCTCTAGCATTCGGGACCAGTAACTTCAACAGTTCAACTGATGGGCCGATTGCCAAAAAAAATAATGCAGCCCTTCTATTTAAGGCGCCCATATCTCGTTCCCTCGTCGTCTAGGGTTCTTTTGGCGGCTGCTAGGGTTTGCTCCCTCATCGAAACACAGGTAACGAAAATGAAGAAAACCCCCCAAGTGTTGCTCCATTTATCTGTTTTAATACTTTTTTTTTCTTTAAAATTTTACATGTGGATTTGCAAACCCTAGGCTGGGGCTAGTTCAATGGATCTGTTCATTGATTGTTTTTTTTTATGGTTTTGATCTGGAAACCCTAGGTATAAGAAATGGCTCCTCCGCAGCCAAACAGTGGGATCTTTGTTGGGTTGAACAAGGGACACGTCGTCACCAAGAGGGAGTTGGCTCCTCGCCCTTCGAGCAGAAAGGGGGTATGATTCTCAACTCTAAACACTAAAGTTCACATCTTGATGTGTGATCTTGCGTTCGTTAATTTTTGTTAATAGTTATTGAGATCTAGATAGATTCTAGTGTTCTGTTAATTGTTTATAGATGCCATTTGTTGCTACATTAAAATGAAAAGATATGGGTTAATATGTTCTCAGCTGGACAAAATGTGTTTGTTGAAGAAAAAGAGTTTATTCATCAGAAATGCATTGCAGTGCTTGAAGTTTACCCTTATTTATTTTAAACTGACCCACTTCCTAAATCATTCTTAGACCCCGAATACCATACTGAACTATTTTAACCTTAGTTTCTGTATTTCATCAGTTCTGTATTCAGTATTTAAAATGTAGCTACTTAGTCAACGTATAGCAATTTGCCCCAAATAATGACCATCTTACACTACACTTGTGAGTTTACTAATGGAGGAGATTGAAAAGGAAGGGAAGGGAACATAAATAGGAGAGGGGAAGCAAAAGAATGGGAAGGGAAAATTTAAAATCATGCCATGCTTGGGAGTTAAACGGAATGAATGGAGAGGAATCATTTCTTAGCCATTGGATTCATAACATGATGACCCAAAATCTTTCCCATCCACTACGCCACAAATAATTTTGGGGGATCACATCTTAGAGAATCATGGATAATTGAGGTGGATTTTATCACCTCCATTTCCCTCCATCCCTTTAAAAATAACTTCAAATAAGATGAATCTTTTTGCCTCCCTTCCACTATCCTTCATTCACCGCATACAAACAGGGCGTTAAATATAACTATAGGAAATTAGACAAAACTATAACATAGCAATAATGTTGCTCAGAAGCTGGGTTTAAACATAATTCGGCATGTTGGGTTGAAGAATGAAATTGGAAGTGAGTGGATTTAAAAATAGATCAACATAAAATTTTGGGTTTATAAACAAAAATACCCTTACTTTTAACTGACGAAAAACACTTTCTAAAGCTTTAGGAAAGATATGGAGATTTTATTTTATTTTTTCTTGTTTGCTATGTTTGTTTTTTGGTCTTGTAAGTTTGTCATACTGGACTGTGGAATATTTGTTAATGATATGTTGTGACTGCAAATATGGACGTGAGAACCTTGTGGAGCGAAGCTGATTACTCTTTTCCCCAACTTTATGTTTCTTGACATTGCTATAGAGTTGACATTGTTAAGGCTGTTTTGGTTGTTAAAAATGTTCACCTTTATATTCATCAAATATTTATGGTCTATGTACTATCGGAACTTGTTTTTCCCCCTTTTTCTTTCATGTCTCCATGTTAAGGGTGTTTATGGTTAATATTTGTTTTGGCATTCATTCATCAAATTTCCATGTACTTTGCACTACCATTAGCCTTATTTATAACTTTTTTATACATTCTACAGAACTTTCTCAGAGGATATTAGTATACTTGGGTTTATAGCTGTCGGAGAATGTTCCATTGATAGACTTTTTCCTACTCGGCTTTTCTTGCTGCTTTTCATGTTTAAAGTTTTATATACTTGCTATATCTGCCTTTTCTTTTGTGCATGAATAACTTTAATATTCAAAGTTGATGCCATCTGCTTTGATGCTGGTGAAGTTTGTCAGTTTATATGATTGATTGTATGAAGAACAATTTTCTTTCAAGTAAAGGTTATAGTATTTTCTTCTTTGTATAATATTTATTGCCTTTCTTGTGTTTCAGAAAACTAGCAAAAGGGTGCACTTTGTTAAAAATTTGATCAGGGAAGTTGCTGGTTTTGCTCCTTACGAAAAGAGAATTACTGAGTTATTGAAGGTTGGAAAGGATAAGCGTGCACTGAAAGTTGCAAAGAGAAAGTTGGGAACTCACAAGAGGGCCAAGAAGAAGAGAGAGGAGATGGCCAATGTCCTCAGGAAGATGAGGTGTGTTTAGTTAGATTCATTGTCGACTACTATCTACCTTGTTTTCTTCCTTTTTTAGTAGATATATTTTATCAGTGATGCATTACTTAGTCTATATGTGTTTATCACCATATATTAGCAAATGTCATTTACAAATTGTAGTTTAGTAAACTAGTTTCATTCTAGTATTTACACATTTGCACCTGAAACTTCAATGTCCTTTCTAACTTCTCTAGCCTTATATTTCAATAGCTTAGCAGCCAATGTTCTTACATAACCATAGTGCCAGTTGTTAGTCTAGAGAACAGAATAAATCACAACATATATCATAACATGCAATATACTCAATCTAATTGACAATTTTCTCTTCCATGTTAAGCTTGTTGGAAGCCTATGCTCCTTGGAAGTATAGCAAAAATTTTGAAAGAACGAAAGCATAAAGATTACACAGATAGCAACTATTCTGGTACTAAAGCAGTGAGACTCGTCAGGATTTGTGTACTCCAAAAAAATAAAAACTATAAACTTAGGTTGTCATGTTCATGTGTGGTGGAACGCCTTAGACAGCTACAATCTTATTTCATGGTAATAGATCAAAAAATCAACGCCTTTAGGTTCTACTGATGATTGATTAGAAAACATCTGAGCAACTTATGTTGCTTATATTTAATATTTAGGCGCTGAACGTCTGAGACCTTTTGAGGCATCGAGCTGCTTACATATTTATTAACTACAACCTTTAACAATAAATATTTATGAATATTAATTCATAATTTGGCTTATCAGAAATTTGATTGCACATGCAGCCTATTTCTCACTATTTATTTGAACTATGCCAGAGTTAAATTTGCCGACAACATCTATAACCGTTGAATGGCTGGGGCCAAGTTCTCACTATGATGGGGAATAAATCATTGTTAAAAGATTTATGAGCTATTTTAGCGTGAGAAACGCACCCCAGTTTTTTTTATTACATGTGCGTCCTCCATGCCTGTTGCCTATATTTACTTTCAAAAGCGCTTTGCCCAAAAATAACATGAAATAAATAGCAACTAAAATCAAAGATGTTCCTACGTTTTGGGCAAGGTAAGGTTCCCACAACCATACCCCAAGGAATAGAAATAAGAACAGTTAGTTGTGAATATGGATTGATGTTAATTCGTGATATCATTTTGTAAACACCCTATCACTTTAACCGAGTATATTTGTAGCCTCTAATTCTTACTGCCAGCTTTTGCTCACTTAAATTGATGTTTGTTTCATTAAGTCATCTCTTGTGCTGTCTTTGCCTGGGTGTTTGTTGCGTCCACATATCATTATGCTTATTGTTTGGTTTTACTATATGCAGGTCTGCTGGTGTGTCCGACAAGAAGAAATGATGAACTCTTTGCTTCAAAAACTCTCCACACCATTGATGGTTTAATATCCTACCGGGGTTTGATCTTGTTGGGAGACTTTTGCCTGTAGGATTCTATAGACAATTAAGAAGTTTTTGTTAGTAAGACAATCATTTGGTAATATTTTGTGTTTTACATTGTTAAAGAATGTTGCGCTTTGTTAAACCTAATCCCTAGTGATGGCTTCTAGTTATCTTGTTCTCCTGATTTGTGAAAGGTTTCCTCGTAGCTTTTATATTCATTATCACCTCTTTATTTTGTAATGCCGTTTTGGTATTATTTCTGAGGTGCAATTCCGGTGCTGCTGAATCATGGTAAGAGACGCTATGATGTAAAGTGTATAATGCTTGGGTACCTCATGAAGGAGGAAGCATTCAGAGCATCCAGTGGCATTACTGCTTTAAGTGTTGCATTATTGGGAAATCAATCCTTGAATAACTTGATTTGGAAGTATTTTGCAATTATTTATGGACGATGTCTTTATGATGCACCATTTATATTTTGAGCTTTGTTCACCGATTTTTTTCTCGTAACTGAGGGATTCTCAAGCCCAATATGGCGACCTCAATTGCGGAAGGATGGTGCAAAGAGCTATGTTGGATGGTTTACAGGGAACTACGTTATGTCAGCGCTAAAATTTGAAGCTTGACATTGTATGGTGATTGCGTTGATTTCGAATGGATTATGGGACGCATTTCATTTGCAAGCTACCATCTTCTGCTAGAGGGGAAATGGGAGGGGAAGACTGAACTAGATGGTGGCTGTAACTTAACGTAAAATTCTCAAAAAAAATTTGGTAGAAGAGTATGAATTAGTGAGGAAGTAAAAATATGCATCATGTAGTCGCAGGTAGGGGTGTTCAAAAAGCCCGCCGGCCTGGAAACCCGGGCCAAGTCCGGGCCCGGGCCGGCTCTTTGGTGCCCGGCCCTGGCCCGATCCAGAATAGTGAATATTTTTATTTTTTTATATGTATTATATATGTATAATATATGTATATATAAAAATATATAATATATAATATATGTATATATAATATATTTTTATATATGTATAATATATGTATATATAATATATTTCTATATATGTATAATATGTCATATGTGTGTATATATATACTCTCTTTTAGTATATAAGTATATATAAGTATAATCTCTCTTCTATAAGTATACTAGGTTTTATACACGTGCAATGCACGTGGTTGATATCATGATTAACTATTTTTTGATTTTTTTTTCCTAACTAAAGTTTGTTCATCGGTTCCACTTTAATAGTTTGTGCTTACTTTTGTCTCTAAAATTTATCATTGCGATTATTTATTTTCTTTGATGTTTGTTTAAATGAGCTATATCTAACTTAAATTTTCATGCTGATATTTGATTGATAGAATACAAATATAATCTGAAGCTAATTTAAATTTTTATATTATTTGGACTAACATAAAACCAAACTTTACTTGAGAAAGTATAGCGTTGCGAAAATAAAATATATTGAAACAGTGTTATACAAGAAAAGTGAATATTTAAAACTAATAAGGCAAGGTGATTGATTAAAAGTATGCTAAAACGATACAAAATAGAATATAAAATTTATTCCTAATCATTAATAGACTTCATAAAAATTATAAACTAAACATTAATGCTAGCTCTAGAGTATACTTTTAAATAATAAAAGCATCCACATAAGCATATAAAAGTACTAAAAAAGTTCATGAACCCCCTTTCTAAAGATTCCTAGTTTCATTCAAAACAATTAAACTATTCTATAAAATATTTAGAAATATTGTCTTTTATTCCTTTTATTTTATTTTTTATTGAGCTAAGATCATTCCTTCTTCCTCTTTATCTTTTTTCTTGGCAATTCTAGAATAGTGTCTTCATCATCTACATCGATTGTGACATCAGGCTGTTGTTGTATTTTTTTACACTGTTATCTTTCCTAGGCTTGTTATTCTTTGATCTTCTCGTTTAACTTCACAAAGAAGTAAAGTGTATTTCTGATGTTCAACACAAACTTTTTGATATACAAACTTTGATTTTTTTTCTATTTTAATGAGAATAAATTTTAATTTCATATATATAAAATTATTTGTGTTCCAAATTTATTGCTTAAATAAGATCAGGAGCTACATATTTTTCATCTACAATGAATTCTTCTGATATGCATCCAATAAGAGTTTCTATTATGTCAATAACATTACTTTTACTCTATCCCTATCGTTTTTCACAAAGATCTGAACTAAATACATGTTTTTTTTCATTAATAATTTGCCTTAGATTATAATATTAATATTTAATTTCTTTACTATTTGAAGGACAAAGTATAAAATTTATGAATACTTACTAATTTTTCTCATATCTTCCATGAAGAATTCTTCTTTGATTGAGATAAAGTTGTTAATTATTCTTCGATGAAACTCAGTCAGTGCTTTCTTTATTCATTTTATCGCTTTATCATTTGCAATGGAAATAACTTGATTCTTTTGAATGATATATTTGAACATTCTGATAGTTTCTCCATATGTAATTCATTGTATTATTTTACCTTAAAAATATTACTAACATCAGAGATTAATGTTTCTAAATTATAATCAATCGATGCTAAGCTATTATATTATAGTCTTTTATTATTTTTATGGATATAAACATCTATCAATTAAATGTTACTAATATATTTTTGCTGCTCCAACTTATTAGTAAAATTATATGCAATTACTTTGACTTATATGGTAACAATAATTTTAAAGCTATCATATATTTTTTAAAAATTTTATTTCTTGACCGAATATTTTTAATCATTTCTTACTTTTGTTTACTAGCATTAATTTAGACTACTTTTAGATGCTAAAAAGGGATAATAAACTCTTATGGTTTTGAACTTTAAGGGTGTGATTTATAATTTTTAAAACTTTGGGAGTATTTTTAAAAAAGTTACTTTTAAGTTTGGCAGTTGTAACTTCTATGTTTCATGTGTCGGTAGTAATTTTTTAATGTCAGAATATTTCCTACAACTCTAAAACTTTAAACATTCTTTTTGCGATTATTAAAATTGTAGATAAATTTTTGAAAAACTCAAATATCAGTGGTCTATAATAATTTTCAGATTTAATGTGTACTTGTTAGAATCTTTGAAATTTTAGAGTTTTTTGTGATTTTAAAATTTTGAAGAAGTCTTTTGTAATTTTTGTAACTTTAAGGTTAATTTTGGTAATTTTTTAATTTTTAGGTGCATGAAAGTAATCTCTCGAATTCATCTTTTGTTGTTTATAAATTTTAAAATTATTGAATTTTATGGTGGTTTTTTATAATTTGAACTTTTGAGGGTGTTTCTATAATTTTTTTGAGACATTGAATGTGTTAATTGGAAATTTTAAAGTCTTTAGAGGTTGCTGTTAATTTCTTAATTTTGTGTTTGTTGTTCTAAGTTTGAAATGTTAAAAATTTTCAGGTGCATCATGATAATCCCTTGAATTCACTTATGTTGTTTGAAAATTTTAAATTTTTATAATTTCAGTGTGCTTATTTGTAATTTAAACTTTTGAGTGTGTTTCTATGATTTTTTGAGATATTCAAGTGTTAACTGCAAATTTTTGATTATTCATAGACTGCTATTAACTTCTTGATTAATGTTTGTTGTTTTAAGTTTTAAAACGTTAAGATGTTTTTTTATAATTTTAAACTTTTCAGAGTATTTTGTGCAATTTTAAAACTTTTTAGGTTTTTTTACAATACTTCATTATTATTGTATATTAGCTACATATAATTTCTTTATCTTAACAAACTAATACCATAAAGTTGTTTTATATAATTTATTAATATTTTTTTAAATTGTTGAGTTATAGAGAGTTCACGTAAGATTAGAATATGATATAATTATAATTAGGATAGATTAATATATGAATGAAATATTTAAAATAGTGAAGGGTAATATTGATCAAGAAAAGATTTTTCTGAACTCGTGATTTTAAAAAGAGTATGATGTGATATGATATAAAAAAACAAACGATAAGATGAAGAGTTCTTTTTTCTTTTTCTTTTTTGACTCATTAGGTACCAAATTCAAATATCTAGATTGTCAAAATTTTAAATCTTTATCTAATTTCTCTATTAAATATAAATTTTGTATATTCAGAGATTTTCTATTATTAACATATGTAAATCAAATCTGAGCTTATATATGTATTAAGTAGGATAGGATCAGATTATTGAAGCTTATTTCTATTAATTAAAATTAATTAGAATATGATACAATAATAAGATAATATCTTAAAGGGTCAAGGGTATTTTTATCCATAGAAAGTTTTTCCCAAACTCCCTCTTTTAAAGGGAGTATGATATCTCAAATTGTAAATCCCTAAATATCGAACCCAAAAGCTAATACGAGAACAATAAAGAAAAGAGACAACCTATTACAATACGTAAAAATATATATATATATATATATATATATATATAAAGGAGGATATGATCGGATTATTGAAGCTTATTTCTATTAATTAAAATTAATTAGGATAGGATACAATAATACAGTAATATCTTAAAGAGTCAAGGGTATTTTTTTCCATAGAAAGCTTTTTCCAAACTCCCTCTTTTATAGGGAATATGAAATCCCTTGAATTCACTTATGTTGTTTAAAATTTTTATAATTTTATAATTTCAGGATGCCTATTTGTAATTTAAACTTTTGAGGGTGTTTCTATGATTTTTTGAGATATTCAAGTGTTAACTGTAAATTTTTGACTATTCATAGACTGCTATTAACTTCTTGATTAATGTTTGTTGTTTTAAGTTTTAAAACGTTAAGATGTTTTTTATAATTTTAAACTTTTCAGAGTATTTTGTGCAATTTTAAAACTTTTTAGGTTTTTTTTACAATACTTCATTATTATAGTATATTAGCTACATATAATTTTTTTATCTTAACAAACTAATACCATAAAGTTGTTTTATATATTTTATTAATATTTTTTAAAATTGTTGAGTTATAGAGAGTTCACGTAAGATTAGAATATGATATAATTATAATTAGGATAGATTAAGATATGAATGAAATATTCAAAATAGTGAAGGGTAATATTGACCAAGAAAAGATTTTTCCGAACCCGTGCTTTTAAAAGGAGTATGATGTGATATGATATAAAAAAACAAACGATAAGATGAAGAGTTCTTTTTTCTTTTTCTTTTTTGACTCATTAGGTACCAAATTCAAATATCTAGATTG